TATCAACAATTGTACCTCCCTTGGCAGTACCCGCGAGATTAACCCGTCGAGTTGAGGCTTCGCATCCCTTCGTGGTCACTTTGGAGACCTGCAGAACATCTCTCTCCAAAGACTCGTTCATCCAACGAACAGCGAGGCTCTGGAACACATTGCCAAGGGAGGTGTTCCCCGAGGCATCATATAACCACCAGAATTACAAGAAAAACACCAATTCCTACCTTATTTCCCTTGGTTCTCTCGATGTTCTCTGAACATTATAGGATATCCCTTTTCGTTAGAACCAGAACATATACAAAGAAACTGAGATATTAGGATAGATAGATATCTATGTCAAACCCCACCTGGGTGATACCGGGTTGATTTCACGAGTTAATCTCTCAAATGAGCTATTGGGTCAACAAATTATGCCATGGTTTTAAAAATCATGTGAGAACCTCAAAGTATGTTAAATATGTTGCATTTAACTCGCACCAATTTTTCTTGTTTTCTTTTTTGTACTATTTTAATCATTGTATTGTAATTTGTGCTCACTGTATTTTCCCCACCCTGTAAGGGTGGCGAAAACCTGAATTAATAAATAAAGAAATGAATAAATAGCTATAAACTTAGATGAAGGTATGGCCGGATAAATTTGAAAACATCGAAGAATATCGACGGGTAATCAGATATCAAACTGATATAGCTCATTCAATTAAGTGCAGTTATTTATATTATTGAATGAATTTCAATATAGGGCTTCCATCCGTCTGGATTTCCCCGGACATGTCCGGGCGTGTTTTGAAAAATTGTCCGGTGAGAGTTTGCTCAAACATGGAATATTTATTGGTATTATTCATGTGACATAAATTTGTTTGAAATTGTTGAATGAGAATTTATTTTTTGTTTTAAAAATATTTTTGGGTTTTTATTCAGTTTGTGCAACGAAAATAAATATATGTACCCTTACCCATAAACATCCTACTATATAATGGTGAATATCACTCACCATTCACCTTTCAAGTTATTTTTCGCATCTGTCACTTTACGCACGTGTTAGGTAGGTACACTGTTTCTTCTACTAACTACCGAAAAAATCCCAAAAGATAACATAAAGAAACATTTTTTATTGTTATTAAATATTCAAATGTCAATATTTACTCCCCAAAAACTTAACAAACCCACTTTTTCGCACTAAGTGCGAAAAAAAGTTGTTTCCGCACAGAAAAAGGTACTCTTTCAACACTTAAATCAGTGCGGAAAGTGGACTTCTCGTCACGCTAGTAAAAAAATATATTTTTGGAATTATAAAAAATGATTAGTTTTCAAAATATTCATGCTGTCCGGATTTTCAAGTAGCCTTGTCCTGGTTTCCATATTCAAGAGATGGCAACCCTATACACAGAATACCCTATTCTGTGACCATACGTTTCATCCACTACAGAGATCGTAGCTACGTATCAACTCAGTATCAACTGAGGTATCAACGAAACAACCTGTAGATCCGCAATACCTTGCGCTATTTGCCATTTAGTAGGCGTAGTAAAATTAACGCCTAGGCGCTAAGCCGCTGTACACATGCCCTGGCGCAATACGCACCTGGCAACTAGCCCGCGACACATCGCATCGCTGCCACAGCCCACCGCCTGCCTCTCCAGCTTCCGGACCGATCCGACATGAATGAGAGCCCGTTCGTCCAGCTCACTCGGACCCGCTCGGCAGCCCCGGCCATGCGTCCCACGTCTCGGCGGCACGCGACTAGAGGCTAGCCATAGCACCATAGCGAGGTAATATTGCGCCTGGCTAGTTGCTCACTGGGCGCGAGAACTTGCAGCGATACAAAAATAAATTCGTCGGCTACCTACTGTCACAACCTCGTAAGTCTTTCAGAGCTAATTGTTCATGAGGGGAAAAACGATTTCTCTAGGTACTTCAAACAATTCAATTTCCTCCTCCTTTGTAAAGATAGGTACCTGCTTGATGAATGAAATCAACATTCTGAGAAGATTTATATTCTCAATGTACAAATAAACGAAATACGAAGTAGTTACGAGAATAAATTGAACATTATTCAGACTGAATTGGTTTTGATCAATTACTATAGTGAAAATTGTCATTTAGTTTGGATTTGCTTCACAGTGCGTGAAGCAAATCAGCGGCAGTTTTGATAACAATGAGAAATACCTATGGGTTCAACAATAATGAACCGAAATATTTCAATCAATGTCTCCATTTGGAATTAACAGAATAGAATCAAGCAGATATCCATAACATATACTAGATTAATATCATACAGATCAATACCTTGTAAGTTCACATGAAGAATCAAAACAAGATTGTCCTTTGCATCACTGCAGAAATATTCGAGAAGATGGACCAAAAAGTTCATCATAAACTTACTTTGGTGTCTGACATGGATTTCAATTCAAATAATGAATCAAACAATAGAGATAGAGATTTATACTTTCTCAACAAGCACAACTTAACCCTATTCTCTCTTGCAGACGAGTTTTTCAGTTCAAAATCTCTCAGAGTAGAGTTAGGAGGTTTAAATTATATCTAATAGATGTCGCTACCAAAAAACATAGACTTACGAGGATTTGGTGATGGGTGCGATGAATTTCGTAGATGGTGAAAATGTTGAAACCTAAAATTCCCTAGAATTCGGACTTAGGAGGTTTTGATAGTAAGCCGATGAAATATGAATACGAGTAGGAATACCTATAAAAATATTGTTGTGAAATGATTCATTAAGCAACTGCTTTCAGAAGTTTTACAGTTTTACATCAGGGTGATCCCTGGAATCATCACACACAGCAAATCGATTATTCATTCAGATAGAACACTCTACCTTTCATACTTATGTAGGTTAGTAGGTATACATAAAATATTGAATCATCATTCTCAATCACTCCATCCCTTAGATATCCTAATTATACATAAGGTATAACTATTACGTCTTTGAATAATATTAAATCGCACAACTTTGAACACTGATGTGAGGATAAATATTTCCACAAAAATTCCCCCTCCCCTTGTAAAAATAATATCAGCGATCAGAACGTTTTTCGTAAAATTTTATAACAACGAAGAAAACTTGGGTAGATTTCTGAGAGTCTGGAGGAACTGTGACGTTCAACCTCAAATATCTGGAAAATGGTGAAAGATACACAGTTTATTATTTAGCTAGGTATATTTGAAAAACAAAAACAAACTCCAACTACTCGTAAAATATAGAATATTTTCGAAATAGGAACAATAATTATGAAAATGAAATTTCGAACAAAAAAAAACAATTGAATTCTGATAAACTATTAGTTAGGGGGGCGGGAAACATAAGCGACAAGACTCCTGTAGTGCAAACAGGGTAATCGAATCACTTTGAAAATTTGATAAATAGTATAAACTATCAGAAAGTAGTAGCAACTTTGATATTTAATTGCATTTTCAGATTCTTCCTGAAGAGCTGATTTCATCACTTGGGTTCTAGCGGAAATGACTACAGAGATGGTGTTCAAAATCGAGATTTTTCAACTATAGGAGTTTTTTGTGTCGAAACAATTCATCATTGGTTGAATCAGCCCACATGCTCATATCTCAACTCTTGATTCACAATTGGCATTTAATAATTGAAATAAACACAGGGTGATCAAAATCTTGAATCTTTATCCACCTCGTAGTAGTTCGAATTAAATGTCAGTAGAGAGTGAATGAAAAGTTGAGATAGGGAAATGTGAGCCATTTTGACCAATAATGAATTGTTTCGACACAAAAAATCCTAAAGTTGAATTATCTCGATTTTGAACACCCTATATCTCTGTTATCATTCTTGCTAGACCCCAAGTGTGATGCATTGATGAAATCAGCTCCTCAAATGAAATCATAAAATGCAATGAAATGCAGGGTGTCCAATAGAAGTGGCAATACTGCATTGTCGAAAATATTTTGGTGGGATGAAGTCCGATTATACTCTCCATCCATCATTCTGGTTCACCAGAAACTTCTAATGTGCCCTCACCGTGAATCACCCTGTATACAATCAAAATTATAATTTCCTGTCCAGGATCAAATTCAATGCAATCGTCTCCAATTCACCTGCATCGGGTTTCAAAATTTCTGTTTTTGAAGTTTTTTCTTTTTTTTCGTTGAGAAAAGTCGTCTTTGCGCCAAAACCTATTTATAGGTTGACTACGAGGTTGACTATGTCGCTCAGGAGTAGATTGAAAATTAATAACGTTCTCTCATTCAGACCTATGCATGCATCGATCACCTAACAATGATGCTTTTTTTCTGTGACGGGAAAAAAGTTTGGCATTTCATCTCTGTTGGCAGGTTATAAAATGTCACTTTTCATAAATTACTTTTTTCCCCTGGGAGTACATTTTTCCCGGATATATCACATATATATACACTGTTGATGGCTTTTGTTGTGCTATAATAGTTCCGAAAAATTAGTCGATAATACCGTCTCCGAGAAAGAACTGCAAGTCTTTTTATCTTCTATTCGATTTCGCGGTTATGTATATTATTATTATACTAAGCAACCACTAAATTCGCAATTTTTTGAAATTAAATCACAGAATTAGACTGACAGAAGTGACATCAGATATTTGATTACTTCAGGTGTCCCTACTGTTGAAAACTCAAAATTTCACATCAATAATTTTTAGATTTCAAAATAATGTAATATCTTCTCAATATTGATTCGTCCTTTCTTCTGTCACAGAAAAAAAAGTGTATTATACACGGGAAAAGTATTAGAATTTAGCTCACAACCTGGAGATAAAATCTACTACTTTTTTCCCTTGTATAATAAATAACTATTATTGTTTCGCTCCAATATTTGTCCCGCGCCGCAACGCTTCTCGTGCTCAGCGAGCAGCGGGCCAGGCGCAATATTACCTCGCTATGGTGCTATGGCTAGACTCTAGTCGGCACGCGTACATCCCACCGCTGCGCGCGCATCCCAGCCAGAGTGGGGACCGGCGGCGCATAGAAAACAGATCGCGCCACTCGCAGCACTCATAACGCCTAACGTTCCCTTACTCGACGCGTACCAAACTCCGCTCACCTGTTGATCTTCTCGCACGCGACTAGTGTCTTTCAATAAATCCCATGCCCATGGCGCTTACCATGACTCTCGGCCACCAGAACAAGATGTACAATGTCGTACAGCCTACTAATTGTGTGATCGTCCAAGCAGCGACGAAGAACGTCATCAGCAACAAGAGGCCCCTAGCTCCTGCCCCTGAGAGGACCTCTGTTTTGGTGAACAACAATAACGACTTGCGATGCAAACGGAAAATCCAGTTTATGCCTTATGGAACGCCGCCTCAGCAGCCGGCTTCCGTAGCCAGGAGGAATGCCAGGGAGAGGAACCGTGTTAAGCAAGTCAACAATGGGTTTGCTACCCTCCGATCACACATTCCTCCTAGTGTGGCCCAAGCTTTGTCCCCTCAGACTCCTCCGCAAGGCAGGGGAGCTTCCAAGAAGCTGAGCAAAGTGGAAACTTTACGATTGGCTGTCGAATACATAAGGTCGCTCCAGCAAATGATAGAGGATCATGAAGGAGTGATGACGAAGAACGATCCCCAAGGTATCAACGATAACCGATATTATACCAGCAGTCCTGACTATGGTAACTCGTATCCCGTTTTGTTGCCGACTCCTACTTGTTCTGAGGCTTCTCCTTCACCGTCGCCTTCTCATAGCTCAGAAGGGTCCTTTTCCACCTCGCAAAGTTACGCCAACGCTTTGTACCACCACAGCGAGAATTACGAAAATTATGACCCAAAAAGTCCAGAGGACGAGGAACTTCTAGATGCTATCTTCTCCTGGCAACAAGAATAGCAAATCTTGATGAAGGTCAGTATCTTTGTTTGTTTCGAATTAGTACAAGTTTGATGCGTGATCGTGGGAATAAAAGTAGCAACTTGTGGAATATGTTTTCATGTTCTGTCAGTTTCATTGATTATTCCTTTATGATTATTCTAGTCAAATTTCGCACATTTTCTGAAAGCAAATAAGCCGCACTTCAAAGAATGTTCAACATACCTAACATCAATTATTTATCTAATCATTGAAGTATTCTGTGGACAGTACCATTACTATGAAGTGAGTCTATCGATTTCCACTTCAAACTGATAAAGGTAGAATATTATTATTATTTATTGAAGTGTGCTTTCCGAAACACTTGATCAAGGTGATGTTTATCGAAGAATTATTACTGCTCAATCATTGTGTGAATGTAGGCAAATCTTGATGGCTAATATTTGTCAGAGATGACAGTAGAATTTCTTTTGAAAATTATTCAAGATATAATATAAACAATCACTTCTCTGTATCACATATATTATTCTAGGAACCCTGCGAATTTTATCTTCTCTTTTATATGCTCTGGTATAATATCTTTACCTGTTTTTAATCTACATCTACCTGAACGTCGTTGAGTTCCCCTTCGATATTGTACGCTCATTTCCTACCCCAAGGTAAAATACCGTTTGTGTGCCTTGAACCTTTTCATACATCCTACAGGGGTCTTTAATGCATACCAGTTTCTTAAAGAAATAAGACCTCTTACAAAATCTTTCGAACAATACTGTCTGAGAAACTTATTGAAAAAAATGAGCACGGAAATGTTGGGTTTCTCTTTCCTTTTTGTGTTGCCAAATGTATCATAAATCATGTGCAGGCAACCATACTAGGACCAATTTGATTCTACAACGTTTTCAATTTCTGTTTTTTTGTTTCAGATTTCCTGAGGCCAGTTGGAGAGTCTGATCAAGATTGATCGCATTATATTAAGTAACCAAGTGCCTTCCCATTCCATGGAGTGATATTTTTCTACAATTTATTGATGAATCTCAATAGTTTATCAGTTGTTTTGGTCTAGTCATTGAACATACAAGTGTATATATTGTTTATATCTATTCTAGTTTATAGTTTGTTTCATTGAGTATTGAAACGCAATATGATTGGTTGTAAAATTTTTCAGGGAAATTACTAGTGATGTACCTATATCCAGAAAATTTCCATAAAGTTTTTAAAATCAGATTTTCTGTTTTCGAAAAATATGTAATGCTTTTGCAAGTATTTTGTTTTTCTGGAATAGTTCACAGCTTTGTTTTTCGGGATAATAACCATCACTAGAAATGACTATTGGTCAGTTCATTTGCTGTGCAAACTATATGTATAAGATGTTTAAAATGCTGCTGAATTGTATTTATATTTTTCTGATTAACTTTTAGAACTTTTATGTAAATTGTTAGTCCTGTTGAAAATTGGCTTTGCTGATGGATATTGTTCAAAGTAGATGAAAAAATCTAGAATCTCTTATTAAATTTTGTCGTACTGATAGTGAAAACCTATTTCAGATGTTTCTATAAGACGTTAGACTTTTTAAGTAACATTACATCCCAGTGCGTTGATGCGTATTTGTATATATTTTTGATACGAACTTTTCAAAGTTCTTGTACTGAACAATAAATTTATATATTTTTTAATGACTGTGTTTCATTTCATCCAGGTGATGAATGATAAGATCAAACAGAGGACAGCTGAAATGTAAGAGTTCATAAATATCCAAATAGACAGAAGGCGCGTGCTACAAAAAACCACCTGTCTGTACACATGCCGATATAGATGATAATGTGTTTTCCTTCTCTTTAAAATAAGAAGAAACACAATTTCATTCGAATGAATTATATTCACAGTGTTCACACTCCCTACTCCCTGAAGTAATTAGGAAAAAGTTATTAAAAGAAATTAAACAAATTAATTCGCCCATGCATAATAAACTCCAAACCCTGATCCAAAAAATGACGGATCAGAATATTTAGAGATGTTGTTTCTTCCAAAATGTGCAATAACATTTATTGAAAGTGTGACGGATAAACCAGCGTACATACAAATGTATATGTACGCTGGATAAACGTACGAATTCAAGTATGAAAACTGCAATAATATTCATGTAGGGAATATCCACGAGAAAAATTTGTTCTAAAGTTAAGTATCTCCAACCACTTCATCAATAAGTTGACTAATTGAAGATACTGATCAACCAACAGAAATCTTACAGTCAGAGTCAAGATTATTGACTGAATTGATATAATGAAACTAATACCAGTCAACCAGTCTATTGATATTAGTTGAATCAAATGAAGTTTTTCTTTAGTGCGATGAAATTTAATAAAATAATTTTTCTTGTTAATTATGAATTGAAAAAGTATATAAATGAGTACGTATATACCTACCTAGAGGATGTTGTTTCAAAATAAAACATGGAAATACCTCCATCAAAATATCAAAACACATATTTCTTCTAGGAATGGAATGTTGAAAAATTATTAATTGTGTTCCCTCTTCATTACGACCAAAGACAAAACACACAAAAAAAATCATAAATAAACAAGGTTCAAGTCGAGCGGTGAAGAAAGTAAAAGTGGCAGATGTTCCTCCAAAGAGTGTCTGTCCTAAATTTATTGTGGATATCAATAGATGGCAGCAACTAACAGGTAAATAGGCGGTGTTTCATCCTGAGGTTTCATCAATGTTGCACAGAACTTATATCACATAAACATTTACTTTTGAGTTTTGTTCGAAAGTACATAATGATGAATAATGTCTGATGCATTATCAAACGTTTCATAGATTGCAATAGTTATAATTATAATTCTAACACTAAGGAGTAAGAGTGTACGTAACATCGAATTTATTTATACACTTATAGTCATTAGGAAATAATTGATCTTGAGAAATTTCATTCGTCCATTTTATGAAATATTGTCCATTTTCTGTATGAAAATAAAGGTATATAGGTATAGAAAAAAATCAATAGCATTTTCAGTTACCTACCCATTCGTCAGGTATACCTGGAAACTTTTCGGAATGTATTGTGATTCAGTTACGTAATTGATACTTTGGGGTGTAAGTCTCAAATCAATTTTTCGCCTCATTTAGCTTTAGTAACTGATCCTGTTCATGGAAAAATATCTAGCGCTGTTATTTGATACCTACTGAAAATCGAACAGAAATAGAACATGGATTGGAAAGTCTTCATGCGATATGAATTTTCATAGCATTTAGCTGCTTATTTGAGAGAAAAGAAAAAATAGTTTCCGAAGTGACAAAAAGCAAAATAAATATAATTTGTATTTCATGCATCCATTCTTCTCAAATCGTTCAAAATATTTCAAACATAATAAAGCACGCCAGTACATATATTGCTTTCAATGAAATCAAAACTCTTGATACTAGTTTTGGCACTGAGGCTATCATCAGACACAAAACAAACGGCAAAAAATTCAATCGAGTGAAGCTTTTCTTTAAATTAAAAATGCACAATCAGTTTCATCAAGATCTCAAATTTTGTTGAATTTCAGTCAAAATTGGGTAGGTATATTATAATTTCTCGAACATTCTTCATAATTCAATTCAAAGGGTAGCTATATATTATTAAATGGTTACTCAATACGGTGTGGACTTGAATTGAAACAAAGTTGTGTGGACCTGTAGTTAAAATCAACTCAAAAATTTTCACCGTGTAGGATACCTGATGTAACGAAAATTATTAAAAAAGTTCCATTATAATATTACAAAGGAAAAATATGGAAATATGCGAAGAATCTTACTTATTCTGAAGCCATATGCAAAATGAGACTGAGAATTTGAGATATTATTTTTTATGGCCCTTCTGTATATGCTCCATGGTGGTAAAATTTAATCTGTCTGTAGGTTAATGTTAATAATTACGTCTCGAAACTTCAGCAGCTCAATATTAATGTTAACGTAACCATCAAGTTTCATTAAAATTGTCAAAATTTCTTTAAATGTTTATATGCGCACTTTTGATTGGATATTATTTCATCAATTAATAATAATTAATGAATAAATAATAAAAAAACTGGGTCAACCTCAAGCTAAGTCATTTCTTATGTTTTATTTTTTTGTAGGTAGGTACTTGAATTAGTTCATATTTCATCAAACGAATATCCGCGGGAAACCACCCATGAATTTGAGGAGCACGTAAATAAGGAGGAAAAGTAGAGTTTCCTTCGTTCAAAACACTATACCTGAAGAATGTATAAATGATATAATAAAAATTACTGAGCCATTTTGGAACAATTTATTTTCATATAGGTATAGCGCAATTTGCCACTTTGGCGGTTATATTTCAATCTCTGGTAGAAGTCCGTGGAAGCTCAAAGTCATCTCCACTACTTCATTACTGATGTAAATCTATCAAGGGTACATGTTTCAGACTTATAAATATTCATCTTCAGCCGTTTTTAGTTATGTGTCCTATGCCACTTGTCATAATATCTAGTCATTCAAGACAGTGACTTATGTCATTGTTTATAAATTTAATTCCGTGTTTCTAGCCTCAATTTGGATTTAACACGCTTTTGTTTTTTGGCCCTATCAATTCTGATTGATTTTTGGATTTTAGTGCGCTGTCTCAAGGGTACGGGACGCTTTGATTTTTCCTGTTTTGCAACCTTATATGGTTTTTATGAGCATCTTTGAGTGCTCGTCAAGTTTCCCGTTTTTTCCCAACCTACTTCATAACATAAATACGATATTATGATGATAGACATCGGTATCCAATTTGAAAAATAATGTTCACCTCCTTGTAAGTCAACTTCTGGTTTTTCATAATATACAGGGTGTCTGTAAAAGGTTGGGACATGGCTCAGCTGTGTACTTCTGGGATAAAAACAAGTTGATTTAGACCAACTTACCTATATCCAAAATCGTCTCGTTGAGTTGGTACAAGGCGTTAAAGTTTTACTGGAAAAAAAATCTTGCTCATAAATAGAGTAGGCTGAGATCGATTTTAATGATTTTTGGCATGGCATGTTCTGTGACTAAAGTTACGTTTTGAGATGCATTTGATCATCATCAGTGACCTGCAAGTGTTTCAAGCAACCATGTTGCCGTACCAATTTGGTGATAACTTTTCAGACGTCAGACTGGAAACTTCCAGTTTTTTTTCCAGAAAGATATTCCCTTCAGCCAGAGATATTTTTTGTATCGTGGTAATTTTTGATAAGTCTCGAGGTTCATTTGCAAAAAAATAACATCAAATCTGAGGTATCTTATGCATTTTAGGAAAAAATCTGGGTCGAACATGGCTTGACTGTAGACTCCTGGGATGAAAATAAGTTGATTTTAGCCAACTTCCCTGTATCCAAAATCGTTTCGTTGGGTTGGTACAAGGCGTTAGTTTGTTCACAATGATCAGAAATTATTTATTTGCAAATAAACCTCGAGACTTATCAAAATTAACACGATACAAAAAATATTTCTGAAGGAAATAACTTTCTGGAAAGAAAACAGAAAATTTCCAATCTGACCTCTGAAAAGTTTTCACCAAATTTGTACGGCAACATGGTTGTTTGAAACATTTGCAGGTCACTGATGATGATCAAATGCATCTCAAAACGAAACTTTAGTCACAGAACATGCCATGCCAGAAATCATTAAAATCGATCTCAGCCTACTCTATTTATGAGCAAGATTTTTTTTTCCAGTAAAACTTTAACGCATCAGGTCACTGATGATCATCAAGAACATCTCAAAACGTGACTTACAGTCACAGAACATGCCAAGCCGAAAATTATGAAAATCGATCTCGGCCTACTCTTTTTATATGAGCAAAACTATTTTTTTACAAAAAAACTTCAACGCATTGTACCAACTGAACGAAACGATTTTGGATATAGGTAAGTTGTCCTAAATCAACTTGTTTTTATCCCTGGAGTCCACAGCCGAGCCGTATGTCCCAACCTTTTACAGACACCCTGTATACAGGGTGTTTCATTACTAATTGGAAATATTTCAACCATAGAATCCCGAACTCAAAATATGAAGATTTAACCCAAATCACCTAGATCAAATATGTCTCCTGTCTGAGTAACAGCAGGGTGTTTTATTCAAAAATTTTGAAATGTTTTTTGCCCAGTTCTTCAAAACTATTCGACGTATCACTTTCATATTTGAAGGGAAGTGTAGGTATTATACACCCAACTGAAATACTTGAAATGAACTTTTCTAGCTATCACCAGAGGCGTACGACAGGGGCAATTAACTGGTTGATCCCTCCCAAATTCTACGCCACTGGCGGAATTGCAATTCTATCACAAATTTTTGATTCTCCAAAAATTTTCACGTAGATATTGCACTCTTTCTCCATGGCGATAAAGTCATTAGTTTTCGAGATATTTCAATCCATATCAACAATAAAAACATAACATAACAGACAGGAGCTGTTACAGGGTGTTCAATTATGTGATATATTAAAAAATCAAAACGCCCTGTAACAGCTCCCGTCTGTTATGTTTTTATGTTAATATGGATTGGAATTTCATTTGATTGATGAATGCAGTCCATTGATCCAAAATATCGATATTATTGATACACATTGAAATCAAAATAATTGTGCTGCTTCATGTTTTACTTGAAATATCTCGAAAAATAATGACTTTATCGCTATGAAGAA